TAGACCTACACATAGATCCCATAGACCTACACATAGATCCCATAGACCTACACATAGATCCCATAGACCTACACATAGATCCCATAGACCTACACTTAGATCCCTTAGACCTACACATAGATCCCGTAGACCTACACATAGATCCCGTAGACCTACACATAGATCCCATAGACCTACACATAGATCCCGTAGACCTACACATAGATCCCGTAGACCTACGGACCCCACAAAGGTGATTCCTGTCCATCAGGACCTGTTGCCTCAAGACGAACTCATGCATCGAACACACATGGGGTGAAACAGAAAGCGCCCACAAAGTACTAAGAGAAAATAAGAGATGGTGCTCAGAGCAGGCCGCCAGAGAACACGTTTAGAAGGGCTGCCAAAAAGAAGGCGGGCCTTCACAAAAGGTGTATCTTGTCTGCGACCACGGGCCCCACCGTAAGAACAACTGTGAGGCTGGCGCAGGACCGAGCAGTGTCCTGTTCTGTTGTGCACAGGGTCGCAGCAAGTCAGAACCGACTCAATGGGACTTATAACAATAACAAACAACATGCTTGGTGCTTCTAGAATGTCTTTATCTATCTTCCCACAGCTCTTCAAGGTAGATACTAGCACCAGCCCCAGTTTACAGCTAGGAGTACCCCTCCCCTCGCTCCGTGAACCAAGTTTAATCAGATCCCATCTGGTCCATCAGCTTTCCAAGACAACCCCATTGGAGTGCAAGGGCCTCAAAGCCAACCATTGTTCCATCACTATCCACTCATCATCTATGAACTTGCCCTCTGGGGACAGGGTTGGGGGTTTGAGGGAGAGGGGAGGGAGACCATAAGACAAACAATCATACCCTTAGAATAATGTGCTCTAGACTAGACCCAAAGGGCAATGTTTGCTCAAAGCTAAAGATGAGAAGACCGGGAGGGGCAGGGGAACCCGGTGGGTGGATGGAGAACTCAGAGAGGAAATGGGGAAGCTGTAACCTTGCCATGCCACAGAGCGATTTGCGTATGACCTGTCGATCACAGCGATCTGTTGGAGAGTATGTAGTCTATCTCTGAGGAGCCCTGGTGGTGCAGTGGTTACGCACTGGCTGCGGTCTGCAGGGGTGACAGTTCAAAACCACCAGCCGAGCACCACAGGCGAGAAGCTTGCCTTCAGTTACCGTCTGGGAAACCCACAGGGGGTCGCTATGAGTTAGCACGGACTCAACGGCAGAAAATCAGAAAATAACAAATGCTGGAGAGGCTCTGGAGAGATTGGAATGCTCACACCTTGCTGGTGGGACTGTAGAATTGTACAACCGTGATGGATGGAAATCAGGAGGGGCTTCCATAAACAAACGCAAATACAATTACGTTATGGTCCTGCAATCTCACTACTGGGTATATACCTGCGTTAGGCCAGCTTGATTGGAGAAACAAATCCAGTGACATTCATATATGTATGAGAAAGAGCTTTCTATCACGAAGCAATTAGATATCAAAAAAGCATTCAGCCAGTCCAAGTCAAGTCCCTAAGTCCCTCTTCAGACTCAGGAGACCACAGGTGATGATGCAGAATGCAGGACGACCACAGGCCGGTGGGTGCAGAGTCGTGTGGATCCAAGGTTGGTTAGAAACCTGGCAGGGCTCCGGTAGCTCTCAGGGTGACCAGAAGCAGGAATGTGAAGGTAAGGAGAAGGAAGGTCTTCCTTATGAGAAGGCCAGGCCTCCAAGGAGGTATTATCAGGCTGCGACCTGATTGTTAGGTCTGACTCTGCCCCTAGCCAGGAGTGTCTAGTTGACATAAAAATACCACAATACCTTAAAGAAATAAAGAACACAGACATATACAATATACACACTTATGTTTATTGCAGCAATTGCCATAATAGCAAAAATATGGAAACAATCAAAAACTCTGATTACAGAAAACTGGATAAACAAACCCTGGTACATGCATACAAAGGAATATTATGGGCCAATCAAAAACAACGATGACTTAAAATCCCTTAAGACATGGACAAACTTAGACAACATTATGCTTAGCAAAGTTAGCCAATCTTATAAAGATAAATAGTTAATAACGTCATTATTATAAAGAAAAAGAAAAGTCATTTTCATACCAAAGGTGAAGATTTTGAAAAAAAATTTTTTTTGAAGAGTAGGAGGCGGCTGGGGTGGGGGTGGGTGTAGGGAGAGGGAAAGGACAGGAAATTGTGGAGGGGGGCAGGTGGGAAGAGGGGAGAGAAGCACCACATCCATGGGGTGTTTATTTTATTTTTTAATCATTTTATTAGGGGCTCATACAACTCTTATCACAATCCATACATACATCAATGTGTAAAGCACATTTGTACCTTCATTACCCTCATCATTCTCAAAACATTTCCTCTCCACTTAAGCCCCCGGCATCAGGTCTTCATTTTTTCCCCTCCCTCCCCGCTCCCCGATCCCTCATGAGCCCTTGATAATTTATGAATTATTATTTTGTCGTATCTTGCCCTGTCTGATGTCTCCCTTCACCCACTTTTCTGTCGTCCGTCCCCCAGGGAGGAGGTCACACGTAGATCCTTGTCATCGGTTCCCCCTTTCCAACCATCCATGGGGTGTTTAATGGGGTACTATTACTGATTTGACTTGATGACCTAGGCTGCACAGCTACACAGAATGTATTTCCCTTTAAAAAACTAAAGGGATAAAGTTAAAATTAGAGAGGGGGCGTGGGCCACAGCTTTAAAAACCCTCCAGACTCTCCTTACCCCTCAGATCTCAACATTGGTCTGAGTGGCCATCAAAGGACAAAAAGTGAAATTGAAGTGGACTTGGATTCCTTAGGGATATACACGTTTGTTTCAAACAAACAGACAGACAGACAGACAGTCAGACAGACAAACAAATGCCAAAAATGCAATTCTTTCCTCTTCAATGCCTCTTCTCCAGTGTGCTGGCAGGCAAGTCTCTCTCTGATACTCAGCCCCTCAGCCCTCAAGCTCGGCAGTGTGCTGTAGGCCAGGCATTGTTCAGTCTGGGCATTGCTCCTCTGCCCTGCCTCCTGGTCTCAGGGTGGCTCCTCTGCCCTGCCTCATGGTGTCAGGGTGGCTCTTTTGCTCTGCCTGATGAGGCTGGTGCTGCAGCCTTTGGTGCCTCTACCACTTCAGACATGGATCTCACACACACTCTGCTGGTGGCTCTGCTTTGTTGATGGTCACAGGCACATGTGGGATGCTATCTCCCTGCTTCTGAGATGGCTAACACTTACCCATCCAGTAGAATGACAAAACTGACCAATGCCCTTCATTAGCATTTCACACACCCTATTTACACGGTCCTATGAGATCATTTGGTGGAGGTTGGGAGGGCATGGATAGAAAAGCCATTCCAAATCATTTTAATTCACCACAATGAGATAGCTTTTAACTGTTCCAATACCCATTAGCTTCCTACCCAACTATGGTTTCAGCTAACCCCTATCAACCTGATCATAAGGAAAATACCCTGTGCTTGTTCAATACTGCCCCGGTGGTAGTGTCTAACCTCCTTTAACTGCACAAGGGAGAAGGAAAGTCAAAATCCACAGGCCAAGGTGGATTGATGAGAGGTGGCGATCAATCAAGTCTCCACCCTCCAACCTTTTCACTACTTCTGACATCGGTCATCCCTCCCACATCTGTTCTCTGCTGGGTTCAATAATTTGTTGCAATAGCCGCACAGAACTCAAGTTCATAGTTAGGATTATGTGACTTATGAGGCAGGTCCAAAGCCAAAAGCCAGGGAGTCAATACCTACTCATAGTGACCCCAAATAGGTTTTCCCGAGGCTTGTCAATCTTGATAGGAACCGATAACCCCACCTTTCTCCCAGTGGAGGGACTGGTGGGTTTGAACCTCTGGCCTTGCTCTTAGCAGCCCAACACAGTGCCACCTGAGCTCCTGCCTCTGAGTACATTTCATAAATCATTTGTTCTGAAGTTCTTCTGCCAATATGGTGTGGCAGGAGGGAGCCTCCCTGAATTGCAGCCCCTCGGCAGGGTCTTCCTGCCAATCAGAAGAGCACAGCCTTCCTCAGATAGCAGGACTCCAGTTTTATCAGACTCAACTCACTGTCATCGAGTTGAGGCATTGATGCCAACTCAAAGCAACCCTATAGGGCAGGGTATAGCCCTGTGGGTTTCCCAGACTGTAACTCTTTACAGGAGTAGAAAGCCTCATCTTTCTCTCATGCAGCGGCTGGTGGTCTTGAGCTGCTGGCCTTGTGGGTCGAAGCCCAATGTGTAACCACAATACCAACAGGGCTCCGTAAATCAAACGCTGCCACTGAGTCAATTCTGACTCCGCGCAACCATGTAGGACAAGGTAGAACTGTGCCTGTGGGTTCCCGAGACTGTAACTTTTGATGGGAGTAGAAAGCCTTGTCTTTCTCCCACAGAGCGACTGCTGGATTGAACCTGCTGGTTGTGGGTAGCAGCCCCACCTGTAACCCACAGCGCCAGTAGGATTCCATAGAAACCAATATGAATGGTTCATCCTTGCTGAAAGGTTGGCAGCGGAGACCCACCCAGGGGCATCTCAGGAAAAAGATCACTTTGGTGATCTCCTTTTAAGGTCACAGCTATGGGTCACAGCTCCACTCTACGCACATGGAGTTGCATGCCACTGGGTAGCAACTGGGCCTCTTCTTTTTTTCATTTTATTGTCGAACCGTGGTGATGCTTCTTAGCCTTTTATGAACAGGTCGTCTGCCCTCCTCCTTGCTCACCTGCACAAAACTAAGGCTCATGCATGTCTTAAAGCGAGTTTCGTTTGCATCCCTGATCCTCCAACTCCCTGAAACTAAGGGAGCTTAAAAACTTTTTTTTCACTGTTCTGCAATTAGACTGTGGGAACAACTAATTATTCAAGAGAGAATTGATTCAATAATGTACCAGAATTGTACTGGGAATTACAGAGTGGAAAGAAGCTGATTTGTTTAAATCATCAGAACACATTATTTCCGACTTAAAACCGCTCAATTTCTTCCCTCACTATAATAAAAAAAAACAAACAACAAAGAGCAAACACCTAAATAAAGGCTCTTTTCAAATGGCAATTTATTTGATTGGTTTTTAGTTATTGCATTTTATGATACAGTTATAAAAATGGCAAAGGTCATGGGATTGTAACCTATCTTTAAAAATAATATTTGTCCAATGAACAAAAATGAAGGAGCTAACACCCATGGTAAACCCAGTCACCAACAACCTCTCCCTCCCCCAGACCCACCACCCTCCAAGACTTCTTTCTCCCTACACTCCTCAGCCCAATCCAAGGACTGAGCGGTCCCGGGGGCGGCCCCGCCCACTTGCCAGTTCAGCCCCACCCATTTCCTGCCTGAGGACACCCCCGGGGCCCCGCCCACCTGCCAACTCAGCCCCACCCATTTCCTGCCTGGCGACCCGGGGGCCCGCCCACCTACCAGCTCAGCCCCACCTATTTCCTGCCTGGCGACCTTCTGACGTCAGAGGTGCGCCCGAGAGGAAAAAAACCAGCGGTTGATGAGGCGGAAGTTCCCTCAACGGAAGTGAGTTCTGTGAGGATCGTTGGGGGGATGGCCGTTGGGAGGCAGTTTCTCTGGCTTCTGCGAGCACCTTCCCGTGTCATGGCGCAGGGTCCGCTCCAGGGCGCGGTCCCCTCCAGGGGCATGCACGCCAAGCGCGACCCCCGAAGGCTCTCCATCGAAGGCAACATCGGTAAGGGCCGGAAAGTGACTGCCACGCCTTGGCCTCTGCCGCGCAGGTGCCGGAGAAACCGGGAACGCCAACCCCCGGCGTCCCTTTGCATCATAGGGCGAGGCTGCTGCTGAGCTGCCAGCACCTTTCCTTCCCGATTTAACCTTAGACCCCTTGCCTTTTTTATCGTTAGGACGCCCGGTGTCAAGACCCACCACGGGCCAGATTTGTGGGGGACGAAAAACGCCACATAGTCGGCAGATAGGATCTAAGACCTGGTTTAGACTAGTCCTCTCTGTAAAGATCAGCAAGTGATGTGTGTCGAAGACATTCTAGCAGCAAACAGACTTCCTCATTTTACTCTTTGAACAAATCACCCCGTGAGCCACTCCCAGGTGCCAGGCCCTGTTCTTCACCCGAGATTACACAGCAGTGAACAAAACACAATTCTCTGGAACAAGTACTCCACGAGAATGGGCAGAGATAGACTATAAATCACATACATTAAGCAATGTATGTCAGATGGTGATGGGTGTGATGGCGAACAGTCAGGGATGAGGAGTTAGGAAGGGTGTTCATTAAGAAAGCACTCACTAAACAGAAACCTGAGGAACGTGAGGGAAGGAGCCACGTGGAGAAGAATCTCCCAGGAAGAAAAAGCACAAAAGTCCCAGAGGTGGGAAATGTGTTTAGGGAACGAGGAAGCCAGGGAGGTTGAGGTGTAGAGTAAGCAAGGAGCAAAGTAGAGGAACTCAGAAGCCTTCGGATTGGACAGATAGAGTAGGTTTTGTAATCTGTTTGAGCACCCGCTCCTATTGAGATGGAAAATCACTGGAAGAATTGAGCAGCTAAATGACACGATTTGCCATAAGTCAGAACCAACTTGATGGCAACTAACAACAGTATAAACATTCTGGCAAATATGTTGACAGTAGAAATTTCCAGAAGGAATCAAAGTGGTTAACTGTGAGGGTGGGGAGTTGTTGGATTCTAGTTAAACATTTCAAAGTAGGGCCAACGGGTATTTGTGGCAGATTCCATGTGGAGTTTGTGAAAAAAGAAAGGGCTCAGTAATAGCTCCAAATATTTTGCCTTCAGCAGCTTGAAAGATTTCCTTCAGTTTCCTTAAATGGAGAATACTGGGGAAAAAGGGAGGGGGATGGTCAAAATTTTGGTTTTTAGCATGTTATCCAACCCACTGCAATCTAGTCTAATCTAACTCACAGGGTCGCTCTAGGGCAGAGTAGCATAACCCCATAGTTTCCAAGACTTTGAAGAAGAAGCAGGTTGCCTCATCTTTTTCCCAAGGAGGAGCTTCTAGGTTTGAACTGCCCACCCTTTGATTGACAGCCTAGCGTTTCACCCACTGTCCTACTTAGTTCCCTTTTAAACGTGTTAACTGGGTTTTGTTTTGTTTTATACTTACTTAGACGTCAAGTTAAAGTGCTGAGTAGGCAATGGGGTCTGTGAGCCTGGTGTTGCAAGTCTTGCACTGGAGCGGTAAATGTAGATGGCACACAAAGCCATGGGAAGGGCTGAGCCTCGGGTCTGCAACTGTTAGACTGGGGAAGAACTAGCAAAGGAGACTGAGAAGGAGTGAGCACTCAGGAGGGGAAAAGGGGTGCTGTTCAAGGGGAAGAGATACTCAACTCTGTAAAGTTGTGCGTGTAAATGAATACTGGAGGCCTTTGCAAGCTAGAGAAGCACAATTTCAGGAGTGGCAAGCCTGCCTGCCTGCCTGAAAGCCTGCCTGGAGTTAGTTCAAGGAGAAGGGGGAGGAGAGGAGTTGGAGACTGGTTTAAGAAAACTTTGTAAGAGTTTTTCTACAAAGAGAAAGAATGGAGTAGAAACTCAAATGGGAAGAGTACTGAGAGTGTGTGTGTGTGTGTGTGTGTGTGTGTGTGTGTGTGTGTGTGTAATTACAGCATGTTTGTAAACTGATGGAACTGGTCTAGTAGGGAGAGAGAGAATCAGTACTGGATGAGAGAGGACCAGATTGCTGGAGGGATAGCAAACTCCATCAGCAGCAACTCCGGTAGGTGTAATGGGGATTTGTAGATGATGAAATAGGAAGCAAGGTCATCAGGCAAGAGGGGCGTTGGGAGAGCGGTGGTAGTTGTTGGAGGCCATTGAGTGGCTTTTGCTTCTTAGCCACCCCAGGTGATGAGTAGAACCACCCCATAGAGTTTTCTTGGCTGTAACGTTGACAGAACAGATCATCAGGTTTTTCTCCCACGGATGCTTGGGGTGGGTTCAAACCACCAATCTTTCAGCTGAACTTGAAACCATTGTGCCAGCAGTATTTTTACCAAGTAAGGACTTCAGACAGGCCACCAGGTGAAGGTTAAACTTCCTCTCCCAACTTGACATCTTGACATTGGCTTCCTAACCTTTCCAGCTTTCTATGCTGCTTCCTTGCTTTCTCATTCAGCAGCGGCTGCCCTTTGAGGAGCTCACTGCCAAGCAGACTATGTCTCAGTATTCTGAACTCATCTTGTTGGACAAGAGCCATGATGGGGCAGGACAACGGCATGCCTGGAGCAGGAACTCCCAAAGGGGAGAAGACGCAGCACTCAGATACAGGCAATGATAACGTTTGCCAAGATGGGAAAGACTGAAGAAACAACTGCAGTTTTAATCCAAGAGAAGTAACTAAATGTGCCTGGGATTGAAGGGGCCTGGAGAGAAATGGCAGATGAGGTCGGAAGGGTAAGATTGGCCAGGTGGTAAAGAGCTTCGTGCTCTGAGCTAGTTCAGAGTGTATCGGTAGGCAGTGGAAAGCGACTGAAGACTTGCAGCCAATGTGTGCTATGATCTGAGTCATCTTAAAAAGCAGATGGACTGGAAGGAGTGAATAGAAAGCAAGCCCCATGAAGCAGGCACTGCCCTTGTTTTGCCCATGGGCTCTTGCACCCAATGTATAGATTGAATCAGTCAACGAATTGAACCCATTTGGAGCAGATAGGCTAGGTAATTAACGTGTGGCTCTTTAAGGAGGCCCGGTGTCGCTGTGGGTTAGGTGTTAGCCTGCTAACTGGCGAGGTTGGAGGCGCAAACCCACCACTTGCTCCCTGGGAGGAAGATGAGGCTGCTCCCAGAAAGATTTAACATTTCGGGAATCCTTTCTGGGATCCCTGTGAGTCGAGGGCAATGAGTTTGAGGGGTCTTTTGGGTACTTTTCTAAATCCTGGCAATCTGATCCTGGGTACTGTACCCTGTGGATAGCATATCAAGGTGAGTTGTCCATGAAGCTGTAGCTAACAACATCTAGCAGGAGTTATGAAATCATATGAAATGTGTGATTGGAAGTCAAAAGCTGGGTACCCAGAGCCCCTTAAAATCTAAAAAATGAAGCACCTTTAAAGGATAACTGACTTCCAAAGCCAGTGATTTTATGATTACAAGGCTCAATTGCAACAAGGATTGCTGTGTGACATACTCTGGTCAGTGAGTCATCTCAGACCATTCTCTCTGCATTTTCAAAGCCCCAGACAGAGAAGAAGCCATTTTTATAGTTTGGCAATCTAGAGACTTCTACATTAAACAGTAGAAAGTTTTTCTAATAACATGTTTCTGCCAGCCTTGAGACAATGATTTCACCTCACTCATATCTGTCTTTCACTTGTGTTGAGTATAAACAATCAGGCAAAGACTCTGGGGTACAGGACCAGGGAGTTGTAAGAGAAGAACCGATGTGTTCCAAGCAGGGTATTCTCCCCTTCGGCAGTCTTGGCACCTGGCTGCCCAGGACGCAGGAGGACTACAGCTCAGTGCCTGACTTCAGAAAGGGGGCCCCTGACTTGCTGGTGAGGTGATGAGTGAGCATATAATTACAATGCAATAAATGCAGGGATAGGCGATTATAAACCAGCAAGCAGGCTGTTGTTAAGTCTGCCTGAGGCCTGCGCTGTCTGGCATGGAGTGGAGCTGAGGGAACTCCAGCAGGCTTCCCAGAATGCAGCGTTGGGGGACAGTGGGAAGGATAGTCCAGCTAGGAGAGGGTCTGCAAGCTGTGAGGAATTTTTTTTTTTTTTTAAGCACAGTTTCCCATGAAATGAAAATAAGAGAATTGAGGGCAAAATGTGTTGGTTTTCTTTTAAGCCTGCTGGCTGATTTTTTAAAGTAAGTTTTCCCAGAATGCTTTTAGAGGCAGAAACTGCATGGTTGGTCTTGCTTACTTAGTTTCTTAGGAGATTGGAAGCTAGATTCCTTGAGGGCAGATTTCAGCCTAGTCCTTCATGCTGGTTAATACTTGGTAACTACTGCAGAGGAGCCCTGGTGGTATAGTGGTTCCCCATCAGGCTGCGATCCTGAAGATTGGCACTTAAAAACCACCAGCTACTTCGAGAGAAAAAGTGGAGGCTTTCTACTCCCGTAGAGTTACAGTCTCGGAAACCCACAGGGCAGGTCTACCTTGTCCTGTACCAGCCTGATGGCAGTGAGTTAGTTTGTTTGGAATCAGCGACTGCCAAAGCATCTATTGAGTGAATGAATGCAGCACCAAATGCAGTTCCTGGGCCCTGTGAGCACTTTTAAAACCCAGATAGGGAGGGGAAAACATGTTTTAATCCAGTATTGTTACAGAAAATAGTTACGCTGTTGATGGTTTTAGTAACAATAAACCTGGAACTTTGGATTGTTTTTTAAAAGAATCATTATCCCACACCTGTGCTTAGCCAGCCACGCTCCAGTGACACATGGCTAAAGAGATAACTAATGGCCCTGTGGTGCTTGGCCAGGCTTTCTAAATGGATGGCCTGGCCCGCAAACCTTCCATACCTTCTGCACGGGTTCTGTGCTGCCCCAAGCTTCTGATGACTGAGCTGGCTTGCTAGAAGCCTTGAAATGGGATGTGGGGTGCAGGGTAGGGATGTTGCCTGGGGTATCAGATGGGCAGGTTTCAGTAGTTGGAACTATATCTTTCCTAGCATTTCTAATCTCTGGACTTTCTGGGTATTGTGTGCTGAAATGGCATGAGTGGATTTCTCAGAGCCCTGGCAGCCCCTAGAGCAGTGGTTCTCAGCCTTCCTGATGCCTCAGCCCTTTAATACAATTCCTCATGTTGTGGTGACCCCCAACCATAAAATTATTTTTGTTGCTACTTCACTGTCATTTTGCTACTGTTATGAATCGGGCAACCCCTGTGAAAGGATCGTTTGACTCCCAAAGGGGTCGTGTATGACTCACAGGTTGAGGTGAAGGAATAGTTCATACTCATGAGTCAGCATGACGGCTGAGCTCAGAGATGAAGTGGCCACCCTATAACCTTCAGAGCTCCTCCTTCTGTCTACAATGACTTTTTTGAATAGCTGTCTTTATCTTTAAAAAAAAAAAGTAAGTCAAGCAGTCATTCAATCCTACTTGTCTAACAAGTCAACAGTCTTCATCTCTACATATTAACCGAAATAGCTTTCCAGCCTATAGGCAGAACCATTTGCAGATTTAGTCAGCAGCCTGCGATCTAAATATTCACCGAGTGGGCTAAATATTTTAAACTAGGGCTACTCCAAGCCAGCAAGCATTTGAGAACAGTCAAGTTGTAGCTCCCTGCTGCTCTGGAGGCTCTGATTGAGTAATCTGGTATACGGACATGTGTGTGTCTGTATTTTAACTTCGTATGTTGATTTTTATCTGCGTGTTCTCAATAGTGGCTTCAAATAGAACTCTGCATCAAGACCACTCAGATCCGACTTTTAAAAGGTGTGCTCCAGGGGGCCCGACCCCAGAGACTCACATCCTGGTAGGAAACCAAAATTGATGCTCATGAAACATCCGTGAAATATTGTAAGGCTCAATATAGGGTAGCCAATTGATAACGGTATCCAAGCCAATTCAGCTGATCAGTGTGGTTGGAATTCTTTGTGAGCTGGACAAGTCCTGAACTCCATAGAGGAGATGGGCGTTGGCTTGGAAGAGCGAGGGCAGGCATTGATCCATTACATGTGGGAAGAGCAGGGGCTGAGCCATATGAAAAGGCAGACACGAGTCGGGTGGAGGTGGGCACTGAGAGATGACTGTGACTGTACAAAATGCACAGAGCCTGTTGTGCTCACCCTGTGTACTGGGAGAGGAGTGGGGGTGGTGCGTAATAAATGTCACGTATGGGGTCTGTGGGCTGGAGTGCTGAGACATCTCTCTGCTCTCAAGCAGGAACCGTGATCTGGGAAGGTGCCTCCCCTTCTTTCTCTTGGTTCCATGTGGACTCTCCCTGAGGTGTGAACTCCCTAGAGAAAGGCCCCCTCAGATACAGCAGAGTGAGCTTTCCATCATTGTTACAATTCCAAGCATATTCCTAAGGTGCCTCGTGCTCTTTACAAAGCTGGGTTTCAGAAGGAACAGAAGTCAACGTGTTAGGTGTTTGTTCATTCAGTCTAGCCTCTAGGCTGGACTTTGGCTCCTGTGCCGGAGGAGGGCCCCCTCTCCTTGATCAAACCTGCTGTGATGGAGCCTCGGCCCCCAGGCAGGTCCCGCCCAGGGCTGGATGAGCTAGTCTGGAGTGGGAGCTGTCGGTATCCGGAAAGGCTTCCTGCAGGAGATGTGACGTGTCTGAGCAGGAGTTGACTTGGTGGTGCTCCGGGAAATGGGAAAATGTTAGGCAATCACCCTGCAGAAGAGGCCAATCACCTGGCCTGACTGGAGTTGCAGGGAGTTCAGTCTGCAGGGGTGTAGGATGCTTAAAGGGAAACTGAGGCCAGACATCCTTGCTTTTCTTTCCTTGGCACTGAACACACTTTATTAGTCCCTGGTGTGCGGTGTTGGTGTCGTGGGTTATGTGCTGGGTTGCTCACCGCAAGAGCAGCCGTTGGAAGTCACCAGCCGCTCCTCGGGAGAACAGTGAGGCTTTCTACTCCCATCAAGAGTTAAGCTTCGGTCACAGTGAGTCAGAATCAAGTCCATGGCCGTGACTGAGTGCGTGTGTTTAGTACAGGTAGAGCCTAGATCACAAACAAGTCCTGCACCTAAGTCACATTTGTACATGAGTGAGAGCAGCTAGGTATGGTTTGTGTCTAATGTCAGTTAGCCGAATGTTTGTCTTAGTATAGTATACCTTGCTATGCAAAAACAACTAACAAAACATTAAACACTGCCAGCTACACTAAAGCCTCTGTAACATAAGAGAGCAATAATCAGACACTACTCACTTATCAACCATCTCATCTGTTGCTTTGCATTTACAACAGTAGTAAAAATTTGACTTGTTTTGTGCATTAACGAGAAGGGAATGCCTGCCTACCCCTGGAGTAGGTAGCACCAGTTTGGAGCCAGTGAGGTGCCTGATGCTCTAGCTGCCTCTTGAGGCCCCTTGCCCCCCACCATCCCACTGTCCCACCTCTAGCCCTGGTGCTAGCTGGCAGCACCATGTGGACAGTGGGTGGGGCCTACTTCTATAATGCTACCCTTAATGATACATGGCTGCACACTGCCCAGCCTAGCTGCCTGCTTCCCACACCAAGTGTAGTCGGGACACTAGGTCCCAAGGACACCCAGCCAGCTGCCCACAGCATTCCCCCAGGTCCAGTGGGCAAAGTATGGGCGAGCCTCTGAGTACCCCAGATAGTGGGCCAGGGCTGTGGGGCTAGGATTGCTGGGCTGGGCTGCAGGGCGTGGGGGTGGGGACAGTATTTTCACTATAGCTGATTTTCATGCCCTGGCCTTGGGAACCTACTCATGTCCAGTAAGTGAGGAGCAGGTGTAATGTCTTAATTCAGTGTGGTAAAGTATACATAGGAATTCCATTGTCTCGTGGTGGGTGGTCTCTTCCACTGTCACCTACAAGGTAGGTTGGGACGGGGGGTGGGGGTGGGGGGTGTTAGGAAGGGGCAGTTTCTCCTGTTTAAAAAAAAAATCATTTTATTGAGGGCTCATACAACTCTTATCACTGTCCACACATACATCCATTGTGTCAAGCACATTTGTACATTTGTTGCCCTCATCATTCTCAAAACAGTTTCTCCTTTTATAGAGGGCATTCTCAAAAGTGGGACAGCAACTGCCCCAGGTCATAGCAACTAGCAGTGAAGGAACATGGACGTGGAGTTGTGACCCTTCCCATGGCTCTCAGCCCAGGCCTAAGACTCCAGGAGTCACGTGACCACCAGGCTGCTCTCCTGCACATGTGTATCCCTGGAAGACCCCCAAGTCCAGGACTGCACGGAGGAGGGGCCAGTTGTTCAGAGGGCTGCCGCCAGGGCCAGAAACAGGGCCGACTGCTGTGAGGGCTTTTCCACACCTTGCCTCCTGGACTGGAGACTGAGATGGTGACCACCTTCTCCAAGCCTGCTCCAGGGCCTGACAGACCTGCAAGTACCAGGGCCTTCAGAAAGTTCATGGTTAAAAACAAAAAGGAAAGAAAGAAAGTTCACAGAAAAACGGAATGAAACGATAGTGGAATTTCACCCAAAACTTTTCATTTTTGTGAGTTATAGTTATCAAATGAATAAAGGTCATAATCTTTGTTTTGGATCTTGAAAAACTTGGCATTTTAATTCTGTCACCAAGCAAATACAGGTATGACTCAAACCTTACAACTCACATAGTTGTTTTCCTCAGCGTTTGACAATTCTATTACATGTTTAACTGGATGCGCTCAGCTTCTAGGGGACGGGGACGTTGAAGCTGCACATCTAATCTTAAGGGGGTGTTCCCTCCCTGGAGCCTGTGCTTTTTATGGCGGCTGCAGCTACCACAGCCTGGTCACCACTGTCCGTCTGACGCTGAGTGTTGCAACTGGAGGAGCAGCTACCGTTCCCCCTGAGTGGGACATCGGTGGCAGACTTTAGGCGCAGGCTGCGTCTCCCCTGACTTGGGAAGCCTCCCAATACGTGCTATTTGCATTGCAGCTGTGGGCAAGTCCACCTTTGTGAAGTTACTCGTGAACACTTACCCAGAGTGGCACGTAGCTACAGAGCCTGTAGCGACATGGCAGGATGTCCAGTCTGCTGGCCCCCAAAAAGTAAGTTTTCAGCTGTGGTGGGTAGTTGGCAGGTCTGGGTGGGTCAGTGAACTATAGTAACATCATTTTGCTCAGAGTTGGCGAAGGAGCCCAGTGTGAACCTCCTTTTTAAAAGCGCTTCATTCCAGAAGGTCAGCCACACACCTCAGAGAGGGTATGATTGGTTTGGTTTTGATTTTCTTGGGGCTTCTATCCCTGTGTATGTTAAGTGGCGGCCTCTGCTCTCTGTGGTTTCCCAAAACGTATTTAACCACCCTCACTT